TCTGCCTATTTTGAAAACTACCAGTGACAGGCAGTGGGAATAGTGGGCAAGATCACAGACTGGAGCCGGGCAACCTGGGCGGGCTATCAGCGCTGCCACTCACAATTCCTGTGTGACCTCGGGCAGGCCTCCTACCTTCTCTGTGCCTCTCATGTCTGTAAAGTCAGGATGACAAGAACATTTGTGTCCAGGGCTTGTTGAGAGGGTCCGATGAGGTCTTGATAAATATAAGTTATTAAAACCACACTGAGCGCTTAGTATGCCCCCAGACATGTTGCTAAGTAACGAGATAAATTACCTCATTCAGTCCAATAACAACCCAGCTCTACAATGGAGAAAACGGAAGTGGCCCCAGCCGGTGTGGCTCAGTGGATAGAGCGTCCGCCTGCAGATCAAAGGGTCCCGGGTTCAATTCCGATCAAAGTTGCACTTACCTTGGCTGCAGGCTCCTCCCCGGCCTGGTCCCTGGTCAGGGCAAGCGCAGGAGGCAACCAATCGATGTGTCTCTCTCACATCAATATTTCTTTCTTTCCCTCTCTCTTCCACTTTCTCTAAAATCAATGGAAAAATTTACAGACATGATAATTTCCAAAAATGCAAATTCTCCAGCAAGTTAAACATAAATGGATTTGAAATTTTGGGAGGATTACAAGGAGTAATTCATCTCCAAAACTGAGATCTTAGTAGCATTCAGAAAGTTGTTTTGAACTGTACCTGAGAATTTAAAGTTACAAAGCAAAAGATGGTACCCAAAAATAAAATAATAAAGTGTACACATTTGTTTATGAAATAAAAGCATCAGCACAGCTGGCATGGCTCAGGGGTTGGGCATCAACTTATGAACCAGGAGGTCAGGGTTCGATTCCCAGTCAGGGCACAGGCCCGGGTTGCGGGCTTGATCCCCAGTGTGGGGACGTGCAGGAGGCAGCCGATCAGTGATCCTCTCTCATCACTGATGTTTCTATTTCTCTATCTCCCTTCCTCTCTGAAATCAATAAAAATATTTAAAATTTTTTTTAAAAAGACTGAAGTTTTCCAAGTGTAAGTGACTTGATTAAGATCAGAGAGTTCCAAATCAGTGGGGCTGGCGTCAGAACCAACATCGACACCCTGGCCCCTTCGACCGGGAGACCCCGTTTTAATTGTGTGAATTCCAATGTTTATGTTCGTTGCAGGCGTTCCTGGCCTGGGTCGCACTTGCTGGATTTCACAATCGCTGGGCTGACCGAAGGGCCCTGAAAGCCTAGGTCTGCTCATCTCCCGCCCACACACATAGCTCAGGGCCAGCTGGTCCGAACATAGTTTTTCCATGTCTCATTTCCTGCCGCGGATCCCAGCGTCTCTAAGTAGCAAGATGTCCAGGAAATGAGTTGTCCGCACAGTATTAACCAATCGATAAGCATTAGCTCCGGGCCACAGCACTATCATTTATATCAGCTGATTTAGCCTATATAAGACAAGCCTAATACGCTAAGTGTCTGGCCGTCTGTTCAACCCATCAAAGTGTAATATGCTAATGATATGCTAAGGCAGCTCAACCGCTCGCTATGACATGCACTGACCACCAGGGGGCAGGCGCTGGGACCAGTAGGTTAGCCGGCTGATCAGGACTGAGTGAGATGGCTGGACCCGCCCTGGAGCCTTCCCGGGGCCCCTCCTCCAAGCCGGCCCGACTCATGGTGGGGAACAGCCGGATCCCACTTGTGAGTGCACAAATTCAAGCACCGGGCCTCTAGTTTTCACTATAAACTCCAAGGAGAACGATACCAACCTAAACAGATGCACTCCCTGGTAATACAAGGAGAAAGATACTCTAGTCACTTTGGCAACCTCATTCCTACTTTTTTTAAAATATATATTTTTATTGATGTCAGAGAGGAAGGGAAAGGGACTGAGAGATAGTAACATCAATGATGAGAGAGAATCATTGATTGGCT